CAGGGGGGTTGGGCTAGATGACCTCTAAAGGTCCGTTCCAATCCAAAGCATTCTATGATTCCACTTGCCCAGTATAAATTCTGCTCTTGGAATGATAACAAACCTTTCACTAGCAAAATATCACAAGGATTCAGTTTCCGTAATCATATTAATTGGTTTTAAATCACATGAAAGATGTATTATTTGTCTTAAAAGTCTTTACTGGTGTCTTTCATGCACTGGCCAAAGAAAAAGAGTAATTAAAGAAGTTGAGAAACTTGTTATTCCCTTGATGTTTTCAAAACATGAGACACTACAGATATTTCATTATTGCAACTGAAAACTCCGTCTTCATAGAGACAAACAGTTCTTAATAATTTCATCTTGGAGAATATGTGCAAGTAGGTGGAAGATAAATCCTGCTCAGAGAAAGATGAATTGGGATTGGTGACTACATTTAAACGAGGTCTTTCTTGAATGTGCATTGTATCATTTTTCAGGGCATGTGTAGTTTTCAGAGCGTCCTCAGCTAGCATTTCAATCTCAGAAATGTTTGGAAACGAGTATCTAGAATTTAGTTCACACGCTCATTTCTCACTGCTTGGGTTACTAGATGAGATGCCAGTTTTATAGAGCTACCTTTTAGTCAATTTGCAGTTAAAATTCCTTCCCTGTGTCCTGTTGAGACAATTGGTTATTTGTTATCAGCAGTGGAACCTCTGTAAATGATTCCATGCCTAAAGGTTATTTCAAGTGCAGTAATTCCTGTTCTTTGAAATGCTGCTTTTACACTGATTGTACAGCCTGTCCCCTCCACTAACCAGAGGCAGATTATGTTTGTGATACTAGAGCAAGGAACAGGAGGGAGTGGAAAACAAAGTCATTCTGCATCTTATGTATAGTACGCCGGATAAAATTAAGAGGTGCAGATAAAGCCAAAACAGTGCTGCTGTTCACACAGGGTCTGAAGAAAAGCTTTTATGTCTGAAAGTCCTACCTCTCCCCTGCCTAACCCAGTTCTGTCATTTGATCTAGTAAGATAGTACCTCTTTCTGTTAAACTTGTTTTGCTAAAAATTTACCACCTTCTTGGTACATCTAGTGTTCAGATAGATCATTGGTATCCTTGAACTGCTTTGCTATTACATGGTGTGTAATTTTTTTAACCTGCTGAAGATGTAAACATTTGTGAATTGCCTTTACTTTTTTTTTACTTAAAAATTGTAAAATCCAGGATGAACAATGATTAACACTAATCAAGTGCTGCTAGTTGCCTGAAGCCAGGGTAAAAGTTTATTACGGGTACAAGTTGCTGTAAATGTACCATTGGGGTGGTTTTATTATTATTTTTGGCTTGTGTTTTTTGGGTTGTTTTTTTTTTTAATGAGACCTGAATTATCTTTGAATAAACTTCATGTTTCTGATCAGAAAGAGGAAAGCCGCCAACTAACCCAAATCCAGTATATAGCATGGCCTGATCATGGGGTTCCTGATGATTCCAGCGATTTCCTAGATTTTGTGTGTCTTGTGCGAAAGAAGAGGGCTGGCAGAGAAGAACCTGTTGTTGTACATTGCAGGTATCCATTTTTTTTCCAACTTTATTAAATCATCAAACTGAACTTATTTATCATCAAATAGCTTTTCTGTGCTTTGTTGTTGAAATAAACATTTAATTAAATCTGCTTTGGGGATGACTGGAGAACTCAATGTTTAAATTGGACAATTACTTAAAATGGTAATCGTGTTTCAGTAAGCAAAATTGTGAGTATCTACATGCATTGATCTGTGTAGGGATTTTGTTGGTTTTGGGTTTTTTGTTTTGTTTACAGTTTAAATGCTTGTGCTAACAGTCTATATAATAATTCAGGAAAATGGCAAAAGATACTTAAGAACCTTTTCCTCATGGTGACTGTTCTGTGAAACTCCAGCATAGCTGTAGAAATAATCCATAGCAGGAAATGTGGGTGGTATATGCAATGATCAAATAAAAGACACTTTTGCTCAAGTTTGCAGTCTTAGGCTACATGATATTTTGAAATATACGTTAAGATGACACATTTTTCTCAACAACTTACTTTTGTCATGAATTAAAATAACTGTTACTCAGATTTTTATGTATACATGAAATGTTTTTTGTTTTTCTTGTGCAATAGTTTTTAATAGCATTCTACATTCCTATAGTAAATTTCAAAACCTTAATCCTTTAAAATACCTAATTAGTAAACTATAATAATGCATAATGCCAAATGTCTTCAAATTAACATGTACTATAGCAATTCCTGGTGAGCAGTTCTGTGAATAGAGTTTGACCTCTAAATTCCTGAATACTCCCTAGACAGTCAGTGTTCCTGAGTCAGGTGTGCATCATTTCTGTTTGAGAGAGAAGCTGAGGGGTTTAAGGGATAAAATCAATTTAAAGACTACCTAATCTACAAGTAAACTAGACATTTATTGAAGAAGATGAAAGAAAAAAATATTTTCTTTGTAGCGCTTTGTGTATCAGAAATTGTATTCAATTGGGTTTGCTCTCTCTTCTGCATTATGCTGGCCAGGGTGAATCCTATTAACTAGGGAAACCAGTACCAGAATGCCACTGTCTTAAATGATATTGTTCTTCAACTTCCATTACTGACACGCTTTTGTTTGATATGGTTGTGAACAAATAGTGAAAATATCAGCCAAATACAACTTCTACAATATAAAGTGTGCAGGTCTGCAGAGGCAGTGGAACAACAACTTTGGAGAGTATGAACAGTTTCATTCATCTCGGTGAGGCATCGATTCAGCTCCATGCTGATAATTTCAATGCCAACATTTATAACAGTTTTATGATTCACAGAAGAAAAGAGAGAGAATATCACGGTTCAACATAGTTTACTTAATTGGCCTAACTTGGTGGCTGTTGGGAATTATAACCAAATTCCACTAGTGAGTCAAGCTGAAGTAGCCCAGGGGTTCCACCTTATGGTGTGTGCACGCTACTTTTAAAGTCTGTTCAGTATAATAGGACAAGGCATTAGTGCAACAAAATGATGAAATTTGTTTTCAGAACTAAGCCA